TTTAGGGGGTCCGTTATGATGTCGACGATGGCCCGGAGAGTCCTCCCCTTGTGGCGCGGAATCCTGATGCGACGTGTCCCGGCAAGACCGCAGTTTTAGCAGCGGATGGGGCCACCCGCAGGATGACAGAAGGTCCCCTGCCGCCGGTCGTGTCCCCCTCGTCGCTCCAAGTCTCCCCTCCGCCAACCACTGCCGTCGATTGAAGCGCAGGCCTGGGTGGACTCAGCCTCTTCGGGTGCACCAAACCACCTCTGATGGCGCGGTGCACACCACCGCTTGCGCGTGTCATCGTAGAAGACAGTGTGCATGAATGCACTGTGCAATTATGAGTGACGTTAAATCGTCGTCTTCTGTAGCTAGCAGGACGACGTTGAGTTCCTTCACTAAGGCCAGCATACGTTCTAATACTAACGAGTCAATCCCATCACGCTCCGTTTTGGGAAAAGCCACCTGCGGCAGTGCCAACAGAGCGCTGTGGAAGGCAAGAGGCATCTCGGCCTCCCCCCGCCTCCGCGCGGCAAACTTTTGGCGAACGTTTGATGGCGGAACACCCTCTGCGCGAAGGCCAGCGGCAGGGTGGCCCTCTCCGATGGCCAAGGCGCCTCGTCGTCCTGGGTGGCGGGAAGCGCCCTCAGGGGCCTCTGCCTCCGTCCAGCCCTCCAGATCGCAGGTCACTGTGAAGCGGTGCTGGAAAGCATCCCAATAACCCCCCGCTGCCGTGAACTCCTTGACGAACGGTAGCCGGCGCTTGGGTGACTGGAGCTCGACAGGCAGCTTCGGCGGGGAGTTCCATTTTGGCTGGCTCCTCACCCTTGCCCGAGCGCCAAAATGGCGGCAGCCCGCGAGGGCTGCGCGGCCAAAGATTCCATCGCGCGGGAAGCAGGAAGCAGCCGGCTCGACTTCCCCAGGCTCCGTCGCTCCAACTTGCACCGCCGGCTCTTCCTCGTCTGAGCCCCGGTGAGTAGCGCTGCCGCAAGCCTCCAGAAGCTCGGCGATGCGGGCGCGGCATGACCGGCACTCTCTCGCCGATGGTGGCGACGCGGCGTTCGTCCTGCTGCTCCGCCGGTAGCGGGATAAATCCCTCGCCGTCCTCATCCTCTGACGACAACTTGGAGCGTGGTCTTCGACGCGTGGACATTTTAGCTAACCTAGGTCTATGAAAAAAGAAGAAAAAAATCTATACCCCCACTTCTGTCACCAAATGTAACGAGGCCACACGTTTATTCAACACCAGTAGCTCAAACGTCAACAATAATAATGACCGAGGCTGGTGACCACCCCGGCTAACTATACGCACGCTCTCTACTGATAACTACGATCGGACCAGACAGCCACGTGCTGCCTGGCCGACGTGTTTGAAGACCGGAGGCGAGCACCCAGGCTTGAAGACCCGACGATTCGCAGCGACGAACAACCCCGATCCCTTCCCAGACTTCCTTTATATCCGCCCCTAGCGTGGCCCGGCTCCCCCCTTGGCCACGCCCCCCCTTCCAGACCCTTCTCAGGGGTTTGGGGCCCATATCACCTGCTCTCCCTCGAGCACTCCCATGGCACACTCCTCCTAGTGCTAGAAAGAGGCTCTGCACATACGGTACCACCGTGAACCTGGTACTGACTCTATCCCATAGCGATATCTTTCATTATGCTACACATGTACAGCGGCTCGTGTGCATCACGTGATTGCGATGCGGCCTCACCACGTGTCCACACTGAGGCTTCACCACGTGCCCACGATGAGGCTTCACCACGTGCTCACAATGAGGCCTCACCACGTGTCCACAATGAGGCTTCACCACGTGTCCACGATGAGGCTTCACCACGTGCCCACAATGAGGCCTCACCACGTGCCCACAATGAGGCCTCACCACGTGCCCACAATGAGGCTTCACCACGTGCTCACAATGAGGCCTCACCACGTGCCCACAATGAGGCCTCACCACGTGCTCACAATGAGGCTTCACCACGTGCCTACGATGAGGCTTCACCACGTGTCCACGATGAGGCCTCACCACGTGCTCACAATGAGGCCTCACTACGTGCCCGTGATGATGCTTCAACAGCTCCTGCTGTTGTGGAGTGACTCATGCACCCAGCTATGGCTACAGGGTTAGGTGGTACATCTTGTTCATGTCGTTTATTGTGAAATTTCGGTCAAAGTTCCTATGATCACTGTTACATTGCTTTTATGGCTTTATTTTGGTGATTTAGAAAAGTTTTTGGTTTGGCCATGTTTGTTGTAGTACAGAGTTAAACTGATGGCTTTAATCTAAGTTGTCTTGTGGTTGCTGTTGTTATTTGACTTGCATCCCACTGGGATTTTTGCACACAGCGTTGGTGTACCGTGCTTTTTCTGGAAGATTTTTCTGTTTTTTCCTGGATTTTTCTCTTTGCGCATCGTCACTGTAAGATGTTTTCTTGTTCATGTTTTGTGTTTTGTTTGTTGCGGTTGCACCCATTCAAGAGCCGAATGGCTCACAGAGCTATACCAAATAGATGAAACTGAAAACTGAAACGTGACCACAACAGACTTCATGCACCCACTATGAGGCCTCACCACGTGCCCACAATGCCCATGATGAGGCTTCACCACGTGCTCACAATGAGGCCTCACCACGTGCCCAGGATGACGCCTCACCACGTGTCCACAATGAGACCTCATCACTTGCCCACGATGAGGCCTCCGAGTTATAAAACCACTCGCATTCCACGAAATGACGTTGCGCGTTGCGACCATCACCAAAAAGGTGGTGTCTGCGGTGCCAAAAAAACTCGACGTCATTCCCCTCCCTCCCCCCCCCCCCCCCCTCCCTGGAAGGTCGGAGCGACTTCTCCAATGGCAGCGGCACCGTCGCATCCGCCGAGTACGTGCCGGTCGAAAGCGCCGTGGGCCACGTGTTCGTGATCCACACCACGGCGCCGCACGTCGTCAGGGTCAAGGTCGAGTGGCTCAGGTATTCAGTCGACTCAGGCGGGGGTGGAGGGGGTGGGGGTGGCGGTGGTGGTAGCGGTCGTGGTGGCGTTGGTGGGGGAGGTGGAGGAGGTGTTGGTGGTGGTGGCGGTGGTGGTGGTGGCAGCAATTGTGGTGGTTGTGGTGGCGGTGGAGATGACATTTTCTCACAGCGCCAGCAACGGGGCGATCACAACAAGTGCATGAACGTTCAGGGAGTAAACGCAGCCACCCACCGGTTTATCCTCCTCCCCCACCTTCCTCTCTGACTCCCCCCGGACACCCCTCAGTAATCGAACTCGGGTCGCCGGGTTCAGTAGTGCAGCACGGCGCTGCCATAGCGGCTACACTACAGTTGTAATTTTGTGACTTGTAGTGACCGTACAATCTTTCCTCCTCCTTCTCCTCCACTCCTCCGACTCCCCTCCGACAGCCTCATCAACCACTCGTCGTGCCTGAACGAGAGCCTCAGGGTGCTGGACGGTGACCCTGGCAGTGGCGGTGACCCAGAGACCCTGGCTGTGCTGTGCGGCACGGGGCGCGGCTCCGTGCCACCCCACAGCCTCAAGTCGACGGGACAGAGCCTCACCCTAGTGCTCAACTCCACGGGGCCCCTGGAAGGTAACTCAGCGGCGGTGGTGGTGGTGATGGTGGCGGTGGTGGCAGTGACGGTGGTGATGGTGGTGATGGTGGTGGCGGTGTCGGTGGCGGTTGTGGTGGTGGTAGCGGTGGTGTGGTGATGGTGGTGATGGTGGCGATGGTGGTGGTGATGGTGGCGGTGGTGGCAGTGACGGTGGTGATGGTGGTGATGGTGGTGGCGGTGGTGGTGGCGGTGGTGGCGGTGGTGGTGGTGATGGTGGTGATGGTGGCGATGGTGGTGGTGATGGTGGTGGCAGTGTCGGTGGTGGTGACGGTGGCAGTGGTGGTGGTGGTGGTGGTGATGGTGGTGGCGGTGGTGGTGGTGATGGTGGCGGTGGTGGCATTGTCGGTGGTGATGGTGGTGGTGGCGGTGGTGGTGTCAGGCCGCATTAAGGTTCTTGTAGGCCCGAGGCACTGCTCAATGCTCTGATACGTGTGGCATTGTTCTAGTACTGTTCATCTTTTGGCGTTAGTCTTTGCTCTGACACTGGTAGTGAGGCTAGGCCATAAAGAAGGCTGCTGCTTCTTTGGTTCTTTCGGTAAAGTCACCACGTAGAATGAGAATAAAATAATAAAAATAATAAAATAAAATAACACATTAAAATTCTCACGACGTTTCGGCCACAACACAAGTGGCCTTCTTCAGGTGAAAGGAACAAACCTGTCGGGACGACAGAGCTTCATTATTATTTTATTATCATTCTACGTGACTTTACCGAAAGAACCAAAGAAGATTAATCCTTGCAATCACGAAAGCTTTAAATCGAAATTTAAGGCTGCTGCTGTCTCTGGTGTAGGACAATCAGATTAAAAGACAATGACACGTGACATTATTATCATCAGAGCATGTGTTGTTTGCATGTTCACCACAAGTGTGTGGTTAATGCCGTAACTTGATTCCTTAGAAAGGTGTCATCTCTTTAGTGTTTGAACATTTGAACACACAACTCCTGTTTCAATACCGCCAGAAAGGGTAAAACTTATTCTTATTTTCCATGTATGGGGACTCCTCCATTTACTACAGAGTTAAGTTCCAGAGGTCTGTTCGTAAGTCGATTTGTTTGTAAATGCAAATTCACCCCTGTCGATTCCAACCATGTTGTACGACATGTACAGTAAAGCTTTCATAACTGCAGGAATCTATACTCTTTGGTTCTTTCGGTAAAGTCACGTAGGTATAAAATAAAATACATTTATACCCACGTGACTTTACCGAAGGAACCAAAGAGTTTGTACAGTAAACACGAGGAATGGCTTTAAAAGTTGTATAATCTCCTGCAGATGTAGATGCCACTGGTTCTTCATGTTCTGTAGATGTAGATGCCACTGGTTTTTCACGTTCTGTAGATGTAGATGCCACCACCGCCATCTATTGGTGGCGGTTGAACTTACAACTCTCGGTCCGAACGGGCAATTGGACACACGGACCGGGTTTGTTCATATCTCTGAAAGTTCTGAAGTCGAATGTTCGTAAGCAGAGGGCGTTTCTGTTTTAACGGAGTTGAACTCCAATTGCTTCTTAACGCCCTGCGTTTGTCTCTCTCCCTGCATTCCCTCCAGGACGGGGCTTCAGGATCAGCTACCTGTACCTTAGCAGAACGCAAACCTCAAAAGGTTAGACACCGGTTTTGTTATTGCTATTATTAATTTATTCAATGGAATTAATGATGAGGGCCATATTGGTAATCGTGAAATACAAGACAGCATTGTTTAAATGTTTTATAATTTACATTTTCTTTTACTATACAAATGTTTAAGCGACAGGATATTTACATTTTAACACTCTGTAGTAAGAGGCTTTGGCGACAAATATCATCCATAATGGAGGTTTTTGGGTTAAATCGTATGAAGATTAATGCTGTGCCGTTAAACCACTACCCGACACAGCCAACTCAGTAAGAGGTTTGTCACGTAAACAAAACGTGCCAATTAGTTACTTAGTTCAGCACTAGCGGGTGTGTGTGTGTTGGAGAGTAAACCCACTACGACATTTACAATTCGAGTAACCGTGACGTTCAACCAGTAACAACAACCGATAACTCCGGGCTGTCGTCTGATGATGCTGGTTGTTGTTGCAATTACTAGCGAAAGATTACCAGGGTTACTCGGATTCTAATTGTTGTAGTGGGTTTACTCTCCAAAACACACACACACACCGGTTAGTGCTGAACTAAGTAACTAATTGACCACGTTTTATGTGACCAACCCTTACTGATTGTAAATGTTGTAGTGGGTTTACTCTCCAAAACACACACACACACACACCGGTGAGTGCTGAACTAAGTAACTAATTGACCACGTTTTATGTGACCAACCCTTACTGATTGTAAATGTTGTAGTGGCTTTACTCTCCAACACACACACACACCGGTTAGTGCTGAACTAAGTAACTAATTGACCACGTTTTATGTGACCAACCCTTACTGATTGTAAATGTTGTAGTGGGTTTACTCTCCAAAACACACACACACACCGGTGAGTGCTGAACTAAGTAACTAATTGATCATGTTTTGCTTATGTGACAAGCCCTTCCTGATTGTAAATGTTGTAGTGGGTTTACTTTCAAACAGACACACACACACTCACGGGTGAGTGCTGAACTAAGTAACAAATTGGCACATTTTGTTTACGTTCCAAACCCTTACTGATTGGGCTGTGTCGGGTGTAGGGGGGTTTAACAACGCATTCATATTTGCACGATCTGACACAAAACACCTCTATTAAGGATTTTTTTAAACTTTTCTTGAGTTCAGTAGAGGGTGCACTTACCACATCGCATATCCAAAGCTCTCTCTGAGTACCGAAGTATCAGTGAATCTATGAAATGCTCATACGAATGAACATCGTGCGCACACAGCTTACTGGACAAACAATATAAACTATCGTGAACACATTGTTCCATAGACTCACACAGAGACCCACAAACTCACACAAAGAATAATAGACTCACACAGAAACCCCTCTATCCGGCTGAACAAAAGCTGCTTCGGCATGCGGTGGCTGGGCATGCGGGCTACATGACCCAGCCAACGCAGCCTTGCCTGCCGGAGGAGCTCACCGATGGGATCTTGCCCAGATCTTTCAAGGATTTGTGAGCTCCTCACACAATCCTGCCTGGTTAAACCCAGGATGGATCGTAGGCAGGCCAGCCTAAATATTTCTAACCGGAGAGGATGTTCCATTATGGGGGGTCCACATTTCGCAAGCGTAGAGAAGGGAGGGAATGACTGTGGTCGAGAAGACCTGAAGCTTCGTGCGGAGCGACAGATCAGGTAGCTTCCACACAGTGTTACACAACCGATGAAAAGATAATGCCACTCAACTGATTCGGAGTGAGACCTCTGCTGTCAAACCGGAGCTGGTCATGAGCACACTGCCCAGGTATGGGAAACTCTCCACTCTCTCCATAACTGCCCCATCACCAATTGGGAGTGGTGGGGGTGGAGTGTCCGATGGCACAAAATAACCAGGCTGGTTCTTAGTTTTGGTGGGGCTTCTGGTAAGGCCCCACTTCTTAGTGGCAAGTTCCAGGTTCAGCAGCAGTGCCTCCAACGTCTTATTTGAGTAAACAGCAATTACCAAATTTGCATACGTAACATTGGTTGACCAATAGGAAGCCATCCCTTGACCGATCCCCTTTTACCACTGTGGTGGCTACAGACGCCATGAGGGGAATGGCCAATCAAAATTTGCCCTCCCCCCCCCATGGCACTGCTCACCCCAACGTTGCCGTCCGGCACCATTGAGGAGGTAGGGGGTTGTTTTGCCAGACTCACACACAGACACAAAGACACCGACACACAGATCTCTCTCTCTTATACGCCGGTCGCTATCGCCCCCTCCCCCTTACCCGGCACAGATTGTGGAGTGGAAACGGCGGGGCAGACGCAACCGTGGCTTGCTCAGCTGCACCTCAATGGCAGGAACGGTCCTCCGTGCGATGCGGCGCTTCTCAATGCGCAGTGGCTCCTCACCAGCGCGTCTTGTTTCAGTGGCACGTGAGTCGTGACTTTTATCATTTTCTATTAAAATGTTTACTTAACATTTGATCAAATAAAAAGGAATTCATAATTTTTACATACATTTTTTAGATATTCATGTTTTTTATAATTTGTATTATTATTTTTACTATACATTTATATATATAAATTAGTATCACTTTGTTAGTGTACATTGTTATCATTATTTTACGTAATTTTATTATAATTTTTATTAGCATTTTAATATTGGAAATTTTTGCTTCGTGTTTTTAAACGTACCCAATTAGTTACTTTTTTCAGCACTAACCGGTGTGTGTGTGTGTGTTGGAGAGGAAACCCGCTGCAACATTTACAAATCTAGTTAACATATCGTTTCGCCGCTAATTACAACAACAATCAGCAGCAGCCTCGTCATGGTGGTGGTGGATTTAGCGACACACATTTATGCAATCTAACCCAACAAAAACCCCTATTTTGAATAACATTGGTCGCGAAAGCGACGACTACTACTAAGTGTTAAACTATTAAAGAAAGATACTCTTTGGTTCTTTCGGTAAAGTCGCGTAGGTAGAAAAAAATAATAATAAATCACGACGTTTCGATCGCAACACAAGCAATCGTCATCAGGTGAAACGACACAGCAGTGGAACTGCTGAACAGGAAAGAGCTGCTGCAACAAGAGGTTATACGTAGAGGTTTGAGGTGGGTGTCACCCAAGGGTAAGTGGGCGGGGTCAGAGATGGAAATGAGCCCCGTCGTCGCACACGAGCAACGTCGCCGCACGCACGCGCAACAGCTGAGTTAAAGGGAGCGATTGGCATGCTAATGTGAACGAGTCTAAAAAAAAGAATGTCTGCAGAAGAAAAAAAAATCTGCGTTTTACATTGTGCTAATCAAAGTCCAGGCCTAAACCCCCATTTAAATGTTGTGGCAGGATCTGAAGCGAGCTGTCCCTGTGAGGCAACCCCTCAAATGTCACCGATATTAAGGAGTTATGTAAGGAGGAGTGGACCAAAATTCTACAAATGCGATGCTAGAGAGACTGACCAACGGGTTACAGGCAACGCTTAGCTGCAGTAAATTGCTACTCAAGGAGGTGTCACCAGTTACTGAATCTAAAGGGGTCACGTACTTTTTCACACACCGTGCTTATTGAATGTAGAATAATTTGAGGATGAATTAATCTTGAAAGAGTATCATGTTTTTGTGTCATTTGCTTAACTGGGTTATCTTTATCCATTATTACGACTCAGATTAATATCTAATACAATTTTTGCTTTGAAATGTGTAAAATATGTGAAACATCCTGAGGGTTTCACAAACTTGCACTCTATATATATATACACCTATGTCTACGGTCATGACCAAGCAAATTGATGGCTCACAAGTGACGCCATCACATCTACCCCCCTATTTAAGGAACGAAACAGGAGGATTTCTCCAAAAATCTGGCTGTCACCTGATGAAGCTAGTCGTAATTACTGGCGAAGCGTCGTATTCAGATTGTAAATGTTGTGGGTTTGCTCTCCAACACACTGGCGTGCTGTATTAGTAATGAAGTGGCAAGTTCTGTTTACGTGACAAACCTTACTAATTGGCTGTGGTGGGTGGTGGTGGGTTTAACAACGGATTTATATATTTACGCGTTCTTACCCAGCAAAAACCTGTATAATAAATAGATGGGTTTATTTTGCACACTCGTCAAAAACTGTGAACGCACCGCAGGTCCGCCATGCCTGGCGACTGGCGGGCAACCTTCAACAACAGCGACTTCCGACCCCTCGCCGCCATCCACCTGCATCCTAAGTTCAACGCCACGACCTCCGACTATGACGCTGCGCTGGTGCAGCTGAGCGACGCCATTCCCCTTTCGGATGCCGTCAGGCCGGCTTGCCTCCCGGACAGGCGCGAGCCAAATCCACTGCCTGGGAAGTCCTGCTCCATCGCGTCCATCCAAGACGGTAAAACTATTCATCGTGGGCGGAGGTTGATTGTTGCTCAAGTCAATTTGACCTAACCGGTGCGCTGATCCTCAATATTAAATTTCTTTTGAAAGGGAAAAATATTTTAAACTTGTTTTCTTATTTCACCCCCCACTTGAGCTGCTTTCTATGCAGCTCTTTTCCAGAAGGCGTCCTGGCTATCAGCAAATGATGGTGGCTCGAACAAAGCAGTGCATCATCATCATCATCATCGCAGCCAAATTGCTATTGAACGCGTAGAGACGTCGATTCTAAACGGAAAGGTGGGGGGAATACGGAGAACGCGGAGAAATAATTTCATGCAACCTCCACGGGAGATCTCAACCCTGACGCCTGTTGTATATTTGGAGTTTGCATTGTTCTCCACAAGGTCCCCTGACAGACCAGACCTTAATATCTTGAGGTTCATAGAGTTTGGGTCATTGAGAATCAGAATATTTATGCTACAGCATTAATGCAATGAGGATTGGCGCTCTTTATTCACAGATGTCCAGGAGGGGCAAGGGGTCAGAACGTTACAACAACAAACAATATTACAGTCGTGACCTCCTATAGTAGTATCGTTCCTGAAGAACACCGCTTTATGGACAGAATCGCGTTTTAATAATAACTTATAAAAAAAATATAGAAGGTAGGGCGCAGTCCGCGATAGCGCGTGAGATGATGCGTGAGGCATGGCCTGAACAAAGACCGAGGTGCGTGGTGGTGAGTAGCATCTTGAAGCATCCAGCAGCATCCCAGTCTCTCTCGCGATGATAGCGACGATGACGACAATGATGACGATTATGATGATGACGATGATCATAAGGACGATGATGACAATGATGACGTTGATGATGACAACCATGATGATGACAACAATGATAATGACATGCTGCGACATCGTTCTGTTCGCTCAATCCCGTTACACTGCTTATATCCAGGTGGCTTCCACACCATAAAAAAACGCATTCCATACCATACATCCATCACCGTGTTTTGTATCCAATTCGCGTTATGGAAACACGCAACATCATAAGACTGTGATTAGGCTCTATGTACACGTGCACGGTTGAACTTCTTCCACGCCGTGCGTAGCCAATCACAGCGAATCAGAGGTTTGGGTGAAAAGGGCAACAAACTCTCAATGCAACATCATTTTCATTCAGTTTAGCACGTAGGCTTTCGCGACCAATAAAATTCATAATAAAGGTTTTTGGGTTAGATCGCGTTATTTATAAATGTGTCGCAACCCTCCACCACCCGACACGGCCAATCAGCAAAAAAGTGTCACGTTTACAAAAGACAATTAGTTCACTACTTTAGCCCACCGGTGTGTTGAAGAGTGAATCCACAACATTTACAGTTTGAATACGACGTTTCGCTGGTAATTACATCCAGCATCATAGGGCAATTCGCCAGAATGGTAAAGCCCTCACTTGCTCCCGGTCTTAAATAGAGCAGCAGGGTGACATCATCATTTAGCTCATTCAGGTGCAGCAATTATATAATCGATTGGTAATCAGTCAATGGTTATGATTAGTAATGAGTTGTAGATTAGTAATTAGTTGTAATGTGTTATTGTGATTATATGCTACGTTAGTAATCTGTTAATTAGTATGTGTTTCCCCTATAAGGAATTGTAATATGTATTATTTAATAATATGCTTCCAAGCCGCACTAAGCCTATAACTATCAGAGCGATTAAAGTTATTTTTATTCCTCTCAATTTCAATAGATTCTCTAATTAGTCTTTGCCAGTAATAATTATTTTTACACAACACTTCAACGTTATCAAAATCAATTGAGTGTCCTTGTTGACAAGCATGTTCTGCCAAAGCTGACAGTTGTGTTTGAGATAATTTAATATTTCTTTGGTGTTCTTTTAGTCATATGCTGATGTTATGTCCCGTCTGCCCAATATAGCATCTACCACATAAACAATTAATCCGATATACACCTTCTGTTGATAATTTAGGTAATTCATCTTTAGTGCAAGATACTAGTTTTTGAATTTTGTGTACTGTACCAAATCTAACTGTAATGTTTTGCTTTTGTAAAACACGGGCGAATTTGTCAGTTACTCTTGAGATAAATGGAATTTTAATTGTTTTAACAATCCGATCGCTTTCAGCAGTGTTGCTTTGCGATCGTGATTTGGCATTCAGTGCTCTGTTAATTTGAGTATTATTGTAGCCATTCTGTCGTAAGGCTTCTTTAACGTGTTTGATCTCTCTCACTAGACTTTCACCATCTGACACTGTTTTAGCCCAATGTATGAGCGTCTTGATAAAAGAGGATTTCTGAGCTGGATGATGATGCGAATCTGCATTCAGATAGGCATCAGTGTGCGTTTGCTTTCTGTAAACGCTGTGTTATTTTACCGTGTAGGCCATGTCCAAGCAAACTATCTAGGAATGAGAGTGTGTTATTCACCTCCATTTCCATGGTGAACTGGATGGCCGGGTTTTGTGCATTGAGATGATTTAGAAAATCATTAAGTGTATCTTTACCATGTGGTCAGACAACCAAAGTGTCATATGTGGATGACACAAGATATTTTGCTTGGACATGCCCTAAACGGCAAAATAACACACAGCGTTTACAGAAAGCAAACGCACACTGATGCCTATCTGAATGCAGATTCGCATCATTATCCAGCTCAGAGATCCTCTTTTATCAAGACGCTCATATATCGGGCTAAAACAGTGTCAGATGGTGAAAGTCTAGTGAGAGAGATCAAACACGTTAAAGAAGCATTACGACAGAATGGCTACAATAATACTCAAATTAACAGAGCACTGAATGCCAAATCACGATCGCAAAGCAACACTGCTGAAAGCGATCAGATTGTTACAAGAATTACAATTCCATATCTCAGGAGTAACTGACAAATTAGCCCGTGTTTTGCAAAAGCAAAACATTACAGTTAGATTTGGTACAGTACACAAAATTCAAAAACTAGTATCTTGCGCTGTGTGTTATTTTACCGTGTAGGCCATGTCCAAGCAAACTATCTAGGAACGGGAGTGTGTTATTCACCTCCATTTCCATGGTGAACTGGATGGCCGGGTTTTGTGCATTGAGATGATTTAGAAAATCATTAAGTGTATCTTTACCATGTGGCCAGACAACCAAAGTGTCATATGTGGATGACACAAGATATTTTGCTTGGACATGCCCTAAATGTCAAAATAACACAGCGTTTACAGAAAGCAAACGCACACTGATGCCTATCTGAATGCAGATTCGCATCATCATCCAGCTCAGAGATCCTCTTTTATCAAGACGCTCATACATCGGGCTAAAACAGTGTCAGATGGTGAAAGTCTAGTGAGAGAGATCAAACACGTTAAAGAAGCATTACGACAGAATGGCTACAATAATACTCAAATTAACAGAGCACTGAATGCCAAATTACGATCGTAAAGCAACACTGCCGAAAGCGATCAGATTGTTACAACAATTACAATTCCATATCTCAGGAGTAACTGACAAATTAGCCCGTGTTTTGCAAAAGCAAAACGTTACAGTTAGATTTGGTACAGTACACAAAATTCAAAAACTAGTATCTTGCACTAAAGACGAATTACCTAAATTATCAACAGAAGGTGTATATTGGATTAATTCTTTATGTGGTAGATGGTATATTGGACAGACGGGACGTAACATCAGCATACGACTAAAAGAACACCAAAGAAATATTAAATTATCTCAAACACAACTGTCAGCAGTGGCAGAACATGCTTGTCAACAAGGACACTCAATTGATTTTGATAACGTTGAAGTGTTGTGTAAAACTATTACTGGCAAAGACTAATTAGAGAATCCATTGAAATTGAGAGGAATAGAAATAACTTTAATCGCTCTGAGAGTTATAGGCATAGTGCGGCTTGGAAGCGTATTATTAAATAATACATATTACCATTTCTTATAGGGGAAACACTAATTAACAGATTACTAACGTAGAATATAATCACAATAATACACATTACAACTAATTACTAATCTACAACTCATTACTAATCATAACCATTGACTGATTACCAATCAATTATATAATTACTGCACCTGAATGAGTTAAATGATGCTCTATTTAAGACCGGGAGCAAGTGAGGGCTTTACCATTCTGGCGAATTGCCCGATGATGCTAGATGTAATTACCAGCGAAACGTCGTACTCAAACTGTAAATGTTGTGGATTCACTCTTCAACACACCGGTGGGCTAAAGTAGTGAACTATTTGTCTTTTGTCAACGTGACACTTTTTTGCTGATTGGCCGTGTCGGGTGGTGGAGGGTTATGACGCATTTATAAATAACGTGATCTAACCCAAAAACCTTTATTATGAATTTTCATTCATTGTTCGCCGTACCATCCTCTGCCGTCAATCAGTAGCTCCCCCCCGCACCCGACGACATCGGTCGCCCTCCACCTGTTTTGGCTTTCGTAGCCCGACGGCATCGCGTGAACTCACGGAGGGGGGGGGGGTGGCAATCTTTCACCCGCGGGGAATTCCGCGCCTCGCGGGGAAAAAAACGTGAGCGGGCGCATCGCACGGTCTGTAGGACGCGTTCCTTTCGTCTTTCCCTCCGTCGCGTTCCAGGTTCGAAGGTCGTGCGACGCGTGAGCATCGTGGACCAGGAGGAATGCCGAGTCGCCCACAGCTCCAGCGCCGTCACCAGCAGGATGATCTGTGCCTCCGATCAATTTTGCGTGGTGAGCGGAAAGGATGGGTCTGTACGTACTGCACGTTAGTACGTGGGGCTGAACTTCTCTTCCTAACGTGCGTGCGTAGCCAACCATGGCTAATCGGAGGCACGGGAGGAGGGAAAGGACAACAAACTATGGGTCTTTGTGTGAATCTGTGGGTCTCTGTGCGAATCTATGGGTTTCCGCGTGAATCTATGTACGTACGTTGAACTTCTCTTCGCACCACGGTAAGTAGCCAACCGTGGTTAATCGGAGGTGCAGGGGGGAAGGAGAACAATCTATGTGTCTCTGTGTGAGTCTGTCAGTCTCTGTGTGAGTCTGTCGGTCTCTGTGTGAGTCTTTGGGTCTCTGTGTGAGTCTATGGGTCTGTGACTGAATCTATGTATGTATGTTCAACTTTTTTCTCACCGTATGAGCGGCGGTGTAGCCGTTGCCACTGCGCTACGAATCTGGCGGCCTGAGTTTGATTGTTTGAACCGGTCCTGGGCCTGCCTTAGGTCGACTCAGCCTCAAATGAGTACCTGGTTCAGTGTGTAGTAAACATCGCCACTGGGGATACAAATACGGCCGGGCGTGGTGCTGGCCAACTTACCGCCTCTGTGTGTGCCACAGTGCCGGCCTTCATAGGTGCTCGCTAATAGCACTTGCCCCCAACAGTCTGTTACAGTATCAAAATAAAAAAATAGGTTTGACCCTTTCCGGCAATAAACCAGGCAGTGTTAAGATGTTAAAACACCAAACAGATTTCTAGCACAAGGTTTCTGTTTGGTATTCTAACATTTTAGGGGCCGTTCATAAATGACGTCACGCGATTTTGAACGATTTTTGACCCCCCCCCCGCCCCCAAAATAAAACATGCTTCAAATCGCTTTAAGCTGTTGTCATTGTAGCGCGTATTTAATGTGGCGCTGCACTCTGATGTTGTTGGAGAAAACATTCATCAAAAAGTCTACTTAATTAAGTAGAACGTGTTGTCTATGTTTATTTAAAGTTGCGCATTTTGATGTGACGTCACATTTCTCAAACCACCCCCCACCCCCTCGTCACACATCGTCACAACTATCTGACCCCCCCCCCCTCCAGGTGTGTGACGTCATTTATGGACGGCCCCTTAACACAACAGTTTTGTTTGCCAGAAAGGGTTATCACCTACTCTTATAGTCTTTCACAGGCTACACGGGGTGGATTCTATTATGATCTTTGTCTTTGCTGTTCTCTGTGTGTGCCGTAGAACCAGGCGAGCCCGCTGCTGTGCAGGGAGGTGGACGGACGCTGGTACCTGACGGGCGTGGGCAGCTGGGGTCTGTGCAGCTCGCCGGCGGTGTTCACCAGGCTCTCGAGGATCCTGGAGTTCGTCGAGCGGACGGCCGTCTGAGACGACAAAACTTGCGCGGATTAGTCGCCACCTCCCTACCCCTCGGGTTATAACCGGTCGTCTATGTCTTCTTTTCTTGTGTATCCGGTATGGGCTTAATGGAATGAATCACACGGAGAATTTTTGTCAATGGAGTTAACGGTGGGCGTGGATTGGACCCCCAATAGACCCACGTGACTGCACAGCAGGCCACGCCCACGAGTGGACTAATCAATTCAGGGTACAGGGCGAACCTATTGAGATTCGTATTTTGCTGTGCCGGGATTGAGCAGTGAGGTGCTGTATAACAACTTGGGGGGTCGATTGGTGTCCATCTGATCATAATTACAGGTGCACGAATGCACATCAGAAGACTTTGAAATGAAGAGTTTGCCGTTTCACAACCCTCTGGTGTACTTCGGTGGTGGAGTCGCTCGATCTTCAAGATGAAGGCAGAACACAACACGGAGGATTCATTCACAGATTTCGAAATTGTCTATTATTGTTGTTGTTGTTGTTGTTTTTATTAGCCGGCCTAACACCCTCTTTACGATCACGGGAGGGGAGGGATAGGGCGAGCCAGTAACACTTGCATCTGTTTCTGCGAAGAAAAAAAAAACGAAATATAACTCCACGATAGAGGGGTTTTTTGTTCGTTGTCAAAGACAATGCCGTATATTATTATTATTATAAATTTCGATGTAAAGCTTTCGTGACTGCAGGGATTCATATTCTTGTTTTTTTCGGTAAAGTCACATAGAAGGGAAATACTAAAATAATAAAAAATAAAACGTAATTTTATTATTTTTTTACTTAATAAAAATAAAACAATAAAATTATGTTTTTTTTTGTATCAAATAAGAGGTCAGTCCATCAGGCCCGCCGACGGTACTTGAATTTGGTTGATAAAAACGTACGGAGCACGAGACGTTGTGATACAATTTAAATTTAAATATTATGTTTAGAATACTAGGAGATCTTCACGCGTGCGGAGACCTCCTGACTGCTTGCTATGTTCCTTAAATTAACTATTTAAAATTTTAAATTATTGTATCTAGATTTTCTTGTTTATTGTAATGTTTGCTTATTTCGCGCCATTCCCAAGTACTTCCCCGGCTCGTGGTAGCTCCGCCTACGCTCTGACGTCACCATGGCAACGTCATGGCAACACGTTTACCATGGTTTCCGTGGCAACACACACAAACACGCATCTTTCCCGCCCCCAAGATTTTCCAGCTGTCAACACAGGTCCCGACGCTCCAGAAATATTTATTTATTATGCGGCCCGCGCTCATCATTCTTTCAGTTATCCGGCCCACTGTGAGCAAAAGTTTGGTGACCCCTGGGTTTGATTAACAACTTCGTTTAACTCGCGGTCGAGAAGTACTTCAATGGCGTCTGAGCCACGCGGCGCCTGCTTTTCTGCGCGAGCCGATTCCACAGTTTAGGCACCATGGCCTTTTTTTTTAACCCACACAAATATATATATAAATAATAAGACGTCCATACAAAATGTAAATTGCTTTAAAGTAGTGAATTAATGGATTAATTTATGACGATTTTGATACCGGGTCTGAGTACGTGTGCAAAATGTGGAATTGATTGGACAACGAAAAGTGGACGAAATTTTTATGACAAGATTTGACCACGACAAACAGAGGAATCAAATTTTGATTTAAAGCTTTCGTGACTGCAGGGATTCATATTCTTGGTTCTTTCGTTAAAGTCACGTAGAAGGGAAACAATAAAATAACAGAATATAAAACAATAACATTCTCACGACGTTTCGACTGCAAAACAAGCAATCATCATCAGGTGTGAAAACCACAACATGAAAATTTGAAAAAAGTGGCGGTTATTTTTAACGTTAGCACCACGGAGAGCGATTTGACAGTTTGTTCAGATGGAAGAGTCCATCTATGTTCGGAAAAGAGGAGGGGGGAGACGAAAAATAATGGATGCAGTCTGAAAGACACCTTAAGCATGATCAATCAATTAAGACCCAAAATCGTTTATCAAATCCTTCCAATGATTTCTACGCCAGAATCCATATTCTCGGTTGAAATTGTCTCTGTGTTTGTATATGTGGATAGCCTCATGAACGAATCTCTCATGGTAGCCAGATGGCTTGCAAAGAACCTCTGTCTTGTGAACACAAAGCAGACCTGAAACACGGTAGGACCAACACCTCTGCGGTGGTAGATCACTGTTATAATTCAGTAGGTTCACATGACATTGACTTCTCCAAGACAGAGGTTCTTTGCAAGCCATCTGGCTACCATGAGAGATTCGTTCATGAGGCTATCCACAAGTAAAACCGTTGAAAAAGCATTAACCCGATTTCACCGTTAACCGGGGGACTGACTCTGTACACAGGCAAACTCTCAATTTATCCACATGCGGTTTATCTGATTTGCGGATTAACCGTGCGCACACACCTGAGATTTTGACGTGAATTAATAACCCCGTGGGTTTTCCCTTAGGCCCAAATGAATAACCTAAAAATAATGAGTGATGCAACATTCATAATAATTCATAATAAAGGTTTTTGGGTTAGATCGCGTTATTTATGAATGTGTCGTAACCCTCCACCACCTGACACGGCCAATCAGCAAAAAAGTGTCACGTTGACAAAGGACAAATAGCTCACTACTTTAGCCCACCGGTGTGTTGAAGAGTGAATCCACAACATTTACAGTTTGAGTACGACGTTTCACTGGTAATTACATCCAGCATCATCGGGCAATTCGCCAGAATGGTAAAGCCCTCGCTTGCTCCCGATCTTAAATAGAGCAGCAGCAGGGTGACGTCATCATTTAGCTCATTCAGGTGCAGTGATTTGAGACGGAGGGGGGGGGGTTGTAATTATATAATCGATTGGTAATCAGTCAATGGTTGTGATTAGTAATGAGTTGTAGATTAGTAATTAGTTGTAATGTGTGTTATTGTGATTAAATGCTACGTTAGTAATCCGTTAATGAATATGTGTTTCCCCTATAAGGAATTGTAATAAGTATTATTTAATAATACGCTTCCAAGCCGCACTAAACCTGTAGCTGTCAGAGCGATTAAACATTGTCATTCCTGGAAATATTAATTTACAAGTCACGTGCTGCGTGTGCTAAAAATTGAACAAATTTGTTGCTGCTCCAGTTAATCTGAAATAAAACGTGATTGCCTGCCCTACACTACAGTAGTTGCAATATCTGTACACAACAGTGGGGTGGAGTTTGATGGCTGGCTGATTGACCGTGGCTCTGCTGTCATCCACTCAGTGGGAAGAGTTTGATTGATGTTCATTCGCTGCGGCTCTGTTATCCACGCCACAAGGTCAATACATTATTGGCAACAAATACTTGTTTACTCCATTAAGAAATACAATTTTCTCTAACTTAAAAAATCATTTTTACAAACATATCAATAGGTTTTTTTTATTTGGCATAGAGATCCGCGGAAAGTGGTGATATATTTTTGGATTCATCCGAACATTTTGAATTATCTGCGGCCTTCCTCCCACGTCATTGGCGTGGATAACCAAGGGACTAAAGTAGAACCCCCACCTCCTCTTAACTGAGGGTAATTGGTATCCACTAAACCGGGCGTTAAGTGAATGTTGTGGATGTTAAGCGAGTCTAGGGAAATACTCGTTAAAGGGCTTAATTTGCTTCGACGGCATCTGAAGGTCATACCCCATTTGTAACCCAAACAGCTTAATCTTGATTTGAAGCTTTCGTGACTGCAGGAATCCATACTCTTTGGTAAAGTCACTTAGATATAAAATTAATAGATCACGACGTTTCGATCGCAACACAAACGACCGTCTTCAGGTGAGAGAGAGAAAGCGACTAAAACAGGGTCTTATATAGGCCTGAGATGGGTGCAGCTTCAGGGTAAGAGGGCAGGGCTAGAGATGGTCTCCCTGAGGCTGTGCAAGTGGCTATTGTATTGTGAGAGATCAGCATGTCAATGCACGACCTTAGTATGCGCAGCATCGGTGACTTAGCGAAAAGGACATCCAGCCTGTCAATACAAAGACATCCAACCTAATAATGCAACTCAGAGGTTCAGCTAAAATCTCTGCCGTTGCTGAACATGATTCTAACTCTGTGGGCACACACGAAATTGATTTTTCCAAGACGAAGGTACTCTGCAAACCCACTGGCTATCATCAGAGATTTGTTCATGAAGCCATCCAGATACATAAACACAGGCACAACTTCAATCGAGAAGATGGGTACAAACTGAGTAATTATTTGAAGGACGTTATTAACCAGGTTAAGTCTTAACCTGCTGTGATGTTTCCTTCCTTCCTGCGATTTTAGCTGACTCTCTGAGTTGCATTATTAGGTTGGATGTCTTTGTATTGACGGGCTGGATGTCCTTCTCTCTCAGTCACTGATGCTGCGACATACTAAGCTCGTGCATTTACATGCTAATCTCTCACAATACAATAGCCACTTCCACAGCCTCAGGGAAACCATCTCTAGCCCCGTCCTTTTACCCTGAGGCTGCACCCATCTCAGGCCTATATAATATACACTACTATACACTACTATACTATAAGCTACTATACACTACACGATACACTACACTATACACTACACCACTATACACTACACTACTATACACTACACTACTATACGCTACACACTACCTACACTACTATAAACTACACCACTATATTTTGATTTAAAAAAACGCCACTTTTTTTTCAAATTTTCTTGCTGTGTTTTTCACACCTGATGATGATTGCTTGTGTTGCATTCGAAACGTCGTGATAATTTTATTGTTTTATATTTTTATTATTTTATTGTTTCCCTTCTACGTGGTAACTTTACCGAAAGAACCAAGAATACACACCACTATACACAACACTACTGTATACTACTCTACTAAACACGTTAAAGCGATGGGATGGGTCGCGGAATTCAACCGGCTACACATTCGGTGGCCGTGGTGGAGGGGTTGGGTGTTGCATTATCGGTCTGGGACCGCTGCAAGTGGTGTTCAGTTATGATTTAGGTGTGAAAAAAATGTTTTTCGTGGTCATATTCGGTCCCAAAAAGGTGATGATGGGAGGGTTGGGGGGATAAATACCCCAACCCCAGCTCTACCAGTTTGAATTTTCGGCCACAAGGAATGTGTATTTTCCAAAATAGAGGGAGGATTTTTTTGCGTTGGGTTTGATCGTGTGAACTTATTTGCTGTGTCGTTAAACCCGCCATCACCTGACGCAGCCCAATCAGTAAAGGGTTGTGTCAAATAAACAAAACGTGGACAATTCGTTACTTAGTTCAGCACTAACCGGTATGCGTGCGTATGATGGAGAGTAAACCCACGACAAAATTTACAATTTGAGTTAACATTTACGGGTTAATTCTCCAACACACACACACTGGTTAGTGCTGAACTAAGTAACTAATTGGCCACGTTTTGTTTAAGTGACGAACCATAACTAATTGGGCTGTGCTGGGTTGTGGCAGGTTTAACGACAGCATTTATAGTTTCACGATCTAAGCCACCAAAAAAAACATGAATTATGGATAATATCGGTGGCGACAGGCTCCTACTACTACTTGATGTTAAACAAATGGGTTCATAATAAAGGTTTTTGGGTTAGATCGCGTTATTTATAAATGTGTCATAACCCTCCACCACCCGACACG